TTATTGTCATTTTATTCTGTTTTATTGGGGCTCTATCATATTAATTAAAACAATAACATTTGGTTGGTTTCTCAGTAGTGACCAGAAAAATATGAATTGGTCTAGTCTTATGCGAATGGTCAGGTTCTATCAATCAAGTCATAGTGTACTCGCGAGTCTAAGTGACCTGATATCACACACACTGTTAGATATTTGAGGGTTTTCAGGGTGAAACCATGATCAATTTATGTTTCTCGCTATTTTTTGGACTCATCAGCAAGACTTACATAGTTCTGTTTTCTTCAAGTTACAATTATGTCTTACTGACGAGCGCCAGATAGCATAGAACGTATCCTGAGGTAGATTTTTAGAGAATCTTAACTCAAACATTAGATATGAAAAAAATGAATCACTTGTTGACTTTTAATATTTTGGATTAAAAAGCCAGACCTTTGCATCCAAAAGAAATATGTTTAGCCACTCCTTTTACCCTGGCCAACTAGTTAATAATCAATTTCATACTATGGTGACGTACTCTGATCCATGTTTGTTTTTAGGTCCTAAACTTATCCACATAATTTACCATTGTCATTATTACTGTTGTAATTATGTTTATCATTGTTATTATTATTACACTTAGCAACCTTTTTGAGAAATTTATTCAGCATCCACCCCTACCTACTACGTCTGACCTAATTCACATTATTCTACATATTACGTGATTTCCGATTTTTATTCCATTATTCTCTCTCTCACCCCATGTTGACCGTATTTATTCTGATCATTATTTATCTTATAATTTCATTTCATTGAAATTATGAGTCAATTGAAGCTAGCCCATCATGGAAAACCTGGAAGCACTGGACGGCCGTTTCGTCCTGTGAAATTTCTAAAATCTCCACAAACCCCTTTTGATAATAATCATCTGCTCACTAGTGACTGACTTCAAGAGATACTCCTGAGGTTCTAGTGAGAAGCCGTTACCGGTGGAGTTCAAGCAGATCTATTGTGAGATATCAACTCGCTCAAGACAATGGCGTACGGTGGCTCAACTTCGTGGATTGGTTGAAGTTAGACATTAACACCATTGGGTGCCGGCTCAGTGGTCTAGTTGGTTAAGCCGCTGGCGCGAGACTGATAGGCCCTGGGTTCAAATCTCGCGAGGTGTAGGATCGTGGACGCGCACTGCCGAGGAGTCTCATACTAGGACGAAACGGCCGTCCAATGCTTCCAGGTTTTCCATAATGGGCTAGCTTCCACTGACTCACGATTTCAATCTGTGAAATATATATTTTTACAATTTGCATTTATTATCTTATATGTAATTGAAGAGAAATAAAACGAAATTTAACGTGTTTACTGTATTCTGTAAATATTATAGTTTATGAATTGTTTAAATTTCTATAAGAAATTCAACTCTACAAAATATAATAATTACAATACATAATATTTCAGTGTATTGTATACAATGGGCTAATAATTTTATTCTGACATCACTAATTCATCATAATTAAATTATCTTAAATTATACGGAGTTATATATATGCATATATTTGTTTCAGATGCATTCATGTTAAATGTATACTGATGTCTTCAATTAACACAATTACGGGCCAAAGAATAACTCGTGTTTTTGTAAATAAAAAAGGAAAGAACAATTGAGTTTCTCTTTTTTTTTGTAAGAAAAAATGTTTCTAACATTTTATGATTTATGGCTAGTACCTAGTAAAGGTAAAGTGACTATTTCTATGCTTCATTTGACACAATAGATCTTTGTTAACATAAAGCCATTTATTATTTAACAACATAATTAATTTCAATTATTAAATTACCGATAATATAATTATTTAAAGAAAATGTAGAACAACTAAACTTAATCACTTGGTTACATTGATAATATATTTCTCATGTGTCCAAGTTTCTTCAGTTCATTGTTTACAAAAAGAAACTAATATATATATATATATATATATATATATATATATATATATATATATATATATATATATATATATATATATATATATATATATATATATATATATATATATAGAATAATAATAAAAGAGAAAGTCTGTTTTGATTATGTCAATCATTATTGATTATAAAAGAAATTAACATTTTATTAATCATTTCAGTAATGATGTTTGTTTTTTGTTTTGTTATTGTTGTTAAGAGAGAATTATTTTACGTTACAATAATATTTTGTTAAGAAATATCAATTAGTATTTATCAGTTGGTTATTATAAAAGTAAAAATATAAATCTACTCTATGATGGTTATAATTAATGTAATTAATGTAATTAATGTAATACTTCACAGAATTGCAACAGGAGATTAGAAAATGTTAGTAGAGTAGGTGTAATTTAATAAAAATGTTTATACTATAAAAGTAAATGTATTAATTGTGTCTTTGATAATTTTTAAAAGAAGTAATCCAATTACTGACTAAGAAAATAATAAAAATAATCTTAAAACTGAAGATCTAAAGTACGTTAATGATTGATCACTAACTGTATAGTTCTATGACGTATCTTAATTTGATAATCCGTTGCTAGTTAATATTAGGCATTTAGGTAGACAATAAGGTTGAACGATGTATATATTACATATCCTAGCCTGTTTGAATATCTGGGTTACCTGTTCAATAAGTTACCTTTTTGCTTGTTTACGACATTTCTATGTACAAGTTACAAAAGAAACCAGTTACAGAAATCCTGGTTGCTGGCAATATGCATCGAAAACAATATACGTTAGCTAGATGTCGATTCTTGAATTGCTAACATCTAGCTGGCGACTACTCAATATTTATCGCAAGCACCTATCATGAAATAAGAAAAAGTCAGTTGAAGCTAGACCACCATGGAAAGTCTGGAAGCACTGGACTGCCGTTTCGTTCTATTGCGGGACTCCTCAGCGAAGTGTATCCACGAACTCGCCCCGCGAGATTCGAATCCCGGAACTATTTGTCTCGTGCGCGAGCACTTAACAATTAGACCACTCAGCTGGCCGGCATCCAACGGTGTTAATGTTTAACTTCGACTGATTCATGAAATTGAGCGACATGTTCACTATTACTATAACATCCACAAAAACCTCTTCTGATATTAAAAGGAAACGTGTTGAAATAAACTGCGCTGAGAATTCTATATTGTGCGAAAAATCTGATATTGAATGAAGCCACTGATAATAATAAGCTTGAATGCTACTACTGATTCGGCTTATTCGGGACAGAACGAAGGATCAAGGATCTTTTGGAGATCTGTCGTCCTTAACAATAATCACAGACAAAACCTCGGCAACTGATTTGTCATTTTTACTTAGTATGTTTATTCTTTAATTTCCCATATCTAGAGATTCACTTGAATTAAGATTAACATTTTTAAACTAAATGTATACTTTTTCCCATAAATAAATATTATCTTCACAATATAATCCCTATTCAAGTGTATCAATTGCATTTCTTTTATTAATTGATTAACTATATGTTTAATAGAGTTTCGTATAATATTGTTTGTTTAGAAAGCATTTAAAATAAAAACAAATTAACCATTGCCAACATATAGAATATAAAATATTTAGTAACTGATAGTATAAGACTAAATCAGGAAGTATATTACAAGGTATAATTCAGAAGTTAGTCCATCGAAATTGGCAGTATGTTATATATATAAGGTAAACCTTTTGTAGAAAAGTAAATGAAAGTTCTTATTCGATTTTCTTATATATCTGATTTGAATTCGATATATTCTGTATCCAAAGAAATAAACACTTAATAATTGGTCACAACATATAAGTACTATATTTTGAGTAACTACATTTTATTTTCCTTAAGAAACATTTCGATAATTGTAAAGAATAATCTTGGTTAGTTGCTAAAACTTAGTTAACGTTGATAAATATCTGAAATTATGTATTTCTATCAGAATTAAAAATAAACTGAAGATAGCTAAATCTAAAGAATTGTATAAGCTTATGTTTTCATGATCAGGAAGTTTGAACTGTTTAGAACTATAAGTTGTATTAAATTATCTAAACTAGCCTGATCACTTTTTTTAAGGGAAAATTGTTCATTATTTATAACTTCATTATTGTAAGAATTAGCCTAACTTATTTAGAAGTTTTTTTCTTACGCATGACGTGTTATACTTTGCCAATCTCACAACAGATTCCGTCTTCATTAAGCTTTCTGAATTTATTGGAATACTGGCTGATTTTTATTTCAAAAAGTCACGTGTCATGAAACTTAAGTTTTATTAAGTAATCAAGTAATCAATGGCCACTCTTTAACTTCATCAGTTTTATTTAACAAGTAAATTATGTAACTCGGCAAAATACAAATGGTTAATTAGTTGTAAGATGAAATACTTAGAGTTTTTCTTCCACAGAAGCTTGGGATAAAAGTTTATATCATTATTACAAAACGATTTATCACTGAGTAACGAAGAAAGTTATATCCTTAAGTATCGATAGAACTCTATAGACCAAGTTAAAGTGTGGTCGCTAGTCTAGGTGACTTCACGTACTATGTATTATACCGTGATTTTAGATGGTGGTAGGTAGTTATTGAGAAACCCTACTTAGCCTGGACTCCATGTTATTAACCATTCATCAAAAAAGCGTAACTATATTCCTGAGGAGATCGCTGCTTTTTGTGGGATCCTAGACAGTATTAATCATCTACGTAGTCCTATAGATGGTCGGTTGTGAACCGAAGAGCTCAGAGGTAACATTCCAGACTATGAAGTTGGTTGATAGCATTCCCAGTCCTATGATGAGAATCTTTTTCCTTAAGACTGTGGGCATCAACTAATGACATGTGCTGCCTAGCACAAAATTTAGATTCAGGGTTTTCTGCTAACTAGCTTTAATCAGTCAACATGCTAGTAGACTATTGGGAGGTTGTTATCAATGTATATCATTTTAGCTAGCAAAAGACATAATCAAATCATATGTAGTCCTATATAATATTTATCATAAAAAATTTGGTTGATTTTTAAGACCATACTTATCTTTTTTAGGATCGAATAACATTGCATCGAGAATTTGTGTCATTAGGCTGTTGTTCACATCCAAGTGGATTAATTCTATGCGATTTGGCCGTGAATAAAACTGGATTTGTACCTGGGGAAACAATTATTCCTCAAGTTCATATCACAAATCGATCTAGTCGTGCTATACAAACTGTACATTTAACATTTGCACAGGTTAGTTTAGTCACATATAATTTGAAGAAATGATAATTTATTCTATTTGATTTACGTTGTAACTCATCATACTAAGTGTTTTCTGTGTTGTTTTGATTGAACAATAATATCTAATGAATAGATCATTTATGACAAAACAGTCATTCCACTATATTTCTCATATTGTAAGATTCCTATATAAATTGAACACATTATTGAACACAGACTCACCGTTGTCGAATATCAACTAGAATGATACTAAGATTTAGGTCACCTTATGATCATTACCATCCTCCTAACACATAAATACTAATATCAGAAAGGGTTTTTTGTATACTATAGTAATATTAATAGTTGAGATCATGAGCCGTTTCGTCCTACTGCCGTCCAGTGCTTACAGGTTTTCCATGGTGGTCTAGCTTTAAATGACTCATGATCTCAACTATTAGAATTACTAAAATCACCTCAAAACCCCTTCTGATATCATTCAACATATGCTCACTAGTGATGGTCTCCAAGTGGTATTTCCTGGAGTTCTAGTGAGAAGCAGTGACCAGTGGAGTTCAACCAGGTCTGTCGTGAGATAGTAACTCACTGATGACAATGATGGATGTGTCGCTCAATTTCGTGGATTGGCTCAAGTTAGACATTAACACCATCGGATGACGGCTCAGTGGTGTAATGATTAAGCACTCGCGCACGAGACTGATAGGTCCTGGGTTGGATACACTCGAAGCGAAATCGTGGATGCACACTACTGAGGAGTCCCGCAATAGAACGAAACGGACATCCAATGCTTCCAGGTTTTCCATGATGGTCTAGCTTCAATTTACTCATGATCTCAACTATTAAGATTACATAAATATCACTTATAATAAAAATCACTGACCTCAGTGTCTTATAACTACATTATTTTTTTTTAAATATTTAATTCATGTAAATAGTTATTTGTTGGTTTTTTTCATTGATCCTATAATCAAATTTATTTCACATTACATTTCATGATCTCAATCAATAAATCATTAATATCCACAACCCTTTACTGAAAATAAACATGTGCTCACTAGTGACTAGCTTCGTGAGAGAATTCTCGGAATTCCAGTGAGAAGCCGTGACCAATGGAGCTAATCCGTGTCGGATAGAGACAGGCATCTACCTCAGTACAATGGAAGATGGTCGCTCAACTTCATGGATTGGTTGAGGTTAGACATTAATGCTTTTGAATGCCAGGTTAATAGTCTGGTAGGTTGAGTGTTCGCGCGCGAGACCGAAGACCCTGGGTTGGAGTTCCGTGAGCGGGATCGTGGATGCGCACTACTGAGCAGTCCCATAATTGGACGAAACGGCCGTCCAGTGCTTCCAAGTTTTTAATGGTTGTCTAACATAAATCAATTCATGATCACAATCAATAAGTTAATAATCTCCATAACCCTTTACTGACAATAAATTTCTTTGTTACTATTACTAATAATACACTTCTTAATTTATCAAAGTTTATTTACAGTGTAGTTAATTTAATTCTATAAAAAGAATTATTGAGGAAAAAATAAATAGAAGTCTTAATTTGATTATTCAATATTCAATTAATTTCTAAATAAGACAACATTAAATATTGTTAGTGTTTAAAACAATTTATTACATTCGTTGAATGTAAACTAAGGATTATTTCCCTTCCCAATATATACATGTATCTTCAGTATTCATTTTAAATGAAAGACAACTAGTTATTTTACATATATATTTAGTTATTTGACAGATGGAAGTTTTTATAATGTGTCTATAAGTGTTGATATTTAGTAAGATTATTTTTCATATAAAATCATATTGGCTTAAGCTAATGATAAATTTCGTCATATAAAACAATATGTAATTTTTGTTGAAGAATTCATTTTAAAACTCATAAATGATAGTTGAGTTCAGAAAACACTTATACAGTTAATTCATCTATCGTGATCAATTATTTTGCCAATAAATCTCTTCTTAATTACTATTCTACTGATCTTACATTGATACTGAATTATTAGGTTGAGGGTGAATATTGGTTGAATATTTCACTTTTGGTTAATGAAAATACAGTAAGTTATTAATATTTCGAAGTTATAGGTGACGAATTCACACATTTTTATCATGATTTCTCATTCAGTAAGTTAATAGAATGAATGGAACTAAAAAATTTCAAACAACCATCCCTAGGAAATCAGTTTAAATCAAGGAATAATTATCGTTAGACAAATAGTAGGAACCAAGAAGTACTGAACAGCTCTCTGTTCTTAATATGGAACTTCTTCGTAGTGCGTATGTATGACTGACTCAGTGTTAATATGTAAATCATTGACTGACGGTCTAGTGGTAAGGTAGTGAATAGGTACTATTGAAAAGTCATATACTAGAAAGAAACACCTTTCTACTATTTCTTCGTTTTTATTCGTTTTCTAGTTAAAGTCAGCTCGTTATGTAAACTGTAAAAATCAATCATTATTTACTCACTATTGAACGAAATTTAATTATATAAACGCTTGAAAAACTGTTTTTAGAATTTATGATTTCCTTTTTTTTCTTTATTTAATAAAATCTAATTCAAGACAGTCTTTTTAAAAGGTATCAATAAACAAAATCATATTGAAGTTTTACGTATTTTTGCGACAAGATTAAATGCTCAATCAACATTGTCCGGATATAATTTATTTGAACAATTAGATATGAATAAAATTTCTGGTATATTTTCTTCATCAAATTCATTTTCATCAAAAAGTTCAACAAATCGTTTTGAACGTAGTGAACAACAACAACAACAACAAAAAACACATCGACATAACAGTGTAAATAATAAAAATGATAAACAGATTAAATCCCAATCAAAACATAAACACCAACAAAAATTACATCAAAATTCTTTATCAACAAATATTATCGCTGTACCAGATCAAGGTGGTCAAGCATATTTCACAGATTTAATACATGTACCACCTCTTCCAACTAGTGGATTATTTGGTAGACAAAATTTAATTTATTTAGAATATTCATTAATTGTAAGTTTTATGGATATTCTTCTTATTAAATATTAGTATGAATGAATTGAAAGTTGTGTTGAATATCTTTCATATTATTTATATAATCTTAAAAGTCATTATAAGTTATATATTAGTGGATTTCATTTGTATTATGTTCATAAATTGGCATAGAGTTATTATATAATCTCAGTATTTTGAACTGGACAATGATTTGATAATTTTTATTAATATTTTATGACATGTCGATAAATATTTTAACAAATAACAGTCTAAAGATTAAACGTTCAGGCGTGAGACCGAAGGCCCTGAGTTCAAATTCCGTGTGCGGGATTGTGGATGAGCACCGATGAGAAACCCCATACTAGGACGAAACGATCATCCAATGTTTCCAGGTTTTCTATAGTGGTCTAGCTTAAATCGACTGGTGAATGTAACTGGAAGTAATAGTAAGCTCATAAATAACTTACTTCAATATATTCCGAAAGTTTTAGTGAGAAGTCGTAACTGATATAGGTTCAAACATCTTGGGATTTAAACAGTTATCATTAATTGAATTGAATAATCATCGAACGATATTGTAGACTAATTGACTTTGGAACTGTAACATTATATGCTAGCCTAACGGTCTTCTTAATTAAGTTATTGATAATAGACTTGAAGATACTGGGCCCGATTCCTGGTGTGATCGTGAATACGCAGTCTTTGGTATTTACATACTAGGACCAAACAGCTGTCTACTGTTTCTTGGTTTTTAGTGGTACTGCATCTGAGATCAATCTTTGACGATCCAATCTGCAATCAATCGTCTTTGCAAACTTTGTATTGAAACCAAAATAAATCATTTGTTACCAACTAAATGACTATCTTATCAAAATATTTTTATCTTAACTTGGCATGGTATGGCTAAAAAACAAGCTGTATTCTAACTACTATTTATTCGGAAACTTTGGTACGTTTTTATTGATGTGGTGAAAAACCTGTGATTGATATTCGTTGAATGGATTTCAAACAATAATGTGACCATACATAATTATTAAAATGTTCTTTAATAAATAGTAAACAGGTTAAGTTGAATCAGTGTGAATATCGTTAACTAACTGGAGTTAGAAATGTAAACCTTTGTATACCTACTGAGTAGTTTAGAGGTTAAGCTCTCTCCTCGGTACCTGAATCTCCTGGTTTCAGTCGTGTTTGAACACTGGTGAACGTTTATACACTAGGAGGAATCAGCTATCCATTACTTCTTGATTCCTAATGACTGCTTGACTAAGATCAGCTAGTTATATGAACTTTTAAATCATTATTTACCTTATAAATAAAAATAATATATTTGTAATATCCCAGTGAGTAGAAAAATTAGATTTTCTGACGTTTTGTGGCTTAGTGTAAGTCACTTCTTCAGAGAATAAATAACCAAATTAAAATTAATTCAAGTTTAAATAGTACAACGGAACAATGCAAGAATAATATTTGATCCAATAGTTGATCAAATATTATGCTTGCATTGTTCCGTTGTACTATTTAAACTTGAATTAATTTTAATTTGGTTATTTATTCTCTAAAGAGGTGACTCACACTAAGTCACGAAACGTCAAAAAAATCCAATTTTCTACTCATTGGGATATTACAAATATATTATTTTTGTTTATAACAATCAACCCACTGCTCAATTTATTCGAAATTATCAAATCAAACCTTGGTAATGACACCTACATTATTTACCTTTTTAGTTACGGCTTCGCATGCAAGGTGATAGAGAAGGTAAGCATGATCATTGTATGCAAATCCCAATTACAATCGGTTCTGACCCAACTAGAGAAACATCATTCATTGGAAATGATGAAGGTAAGCCTTACTGATTATTTTCTTGTTCACCAATATATCTTTTTAAAGCTTCTGATCATGAACGAAATGTGTCAGTATTTTCATAAAGTAGAAAAAAACGAACTGCTAAGCAGTATACTCACATTTTGGCTAAGAGACGGATATAAAGTTCTCAAGGGAAGTGACCTCGGGTGTTAAAAACTAAGGGAGCTTTATGTATACCTCCTGGGATTTCTTCAAACATTATTACTTAATAGAATATGAGAATTTCAATATAAATAAAATGTTCGAGAGACTCAAGTATCTCATTTCTTACTATTGATTCTGAGATTGACATAGTCAAGTCATGAAGCGATATTCAGTAATAAGTAGGGGAGAAACACATTCTGTATACGGTTGGATTTTTTGCTTAAAGCAGTCGGAAGACTGCATTTTGTCAGTCTTCATCAAACAGAACAATATTTTTTAAGTAATTTAAGTCATGAATTTTTAATGTAAGGGGTGAATAATATTAGCCTGAATTAAATATAACGAGGTAGAACCGATTTCAGTCTTATTGTAACTTTATATTTGAAACTTAATCAATTTTGATCAATAGTTCGTCGTGTATACAACACATTCTAATTATAGGTAAAGCAAAAAATAATGATAAATTCTCTTAAATAAATCATCTTGACAGCATCTTATCACTTCTCGACTAATACGCTCGATAAATAAGTGTGAATGTTGTTATTCTGTGTTCTTAAGCACCAGTGACTTATGTATTACCTGAAAGTTTATTGAAAGAAAAAAATCTAAGACTAACATTTATCAAAGTATAGCCTAATGAATAGATGATTATACTCGATTAAGTGTTCTTTCAAGTCCCTTTCATATCAAGTATATTGTTTATTTTAAAAAGACAAAAAGTAGGTTGAGAAATTTTCAATTCGATTTGCCAGTTAACATGGTGTTACGTTAGTTTATATTCGTGATATCAAACAAGAGTTAAAACTTTTGGTATTATTTTTGAGCAAGCATTTCCGTAAACAAGTCTTTAGTTCTAATTCTTATCATATTATTGTCTGAATTGAATGAATGATATATTAAAGAGAGTATGATGGCAAGTAATCGATCACTGAGTTTTAAACAATGTCATGTTTTTAGTTCTTTTGCACTGATTTAGTCCTATCAATCATGTTGCAGTGTGGTTACTAGTCTGAGAGATTCGACACAGTATACAGTAAGCTGTGTTAGATGGTTGAGAGTGAACAACCAGAAATTCAGGATCTAGGTTTGATATTATTCAGCTGTACTTGCGATCTTGAACGAACTGATACACCTTGTGCGATTAAAGCTCGTCCAGAATCTTCTGTTGACTATCTTCAACTACGTAACAGTACAACACGTGCTGTCAAGTTAGCAGAATTAGTGTCCGTATTTCAACTACAGCGAGAGATTTCCATAAGCAATAAGAATTAAGTAAATATGACAATAATCGTTATCTAGTAATCAATCAGTTGTCAGCGGATGAGTTATCTAATTATCAATCTAATCAAATAGACATGATAATTTACCAACTGTAAACAACATGACAAATATTTCTATGGAAAACAAATAGATAAGACGAATGTTTGATACTTTTTTACATTACATACCAAATATTATATATATAGAAACCAATTAAAGAATGATCATTATAACATAATAATCTGTTTATTTTATTGAAGACATCAGAGAAAAATATCTACCAACGAATAATATGTTAAAAAAGGGAGTTAACTAAAGGCAAACTAAGTTGTACCTATTTTACTGTTTCCTCCCATTTGTGCTTTTCTTCTCGCTGTTTACTTGATGGCCCTGATGAGTGCGAAAAAGTGTGTGTGTGTGTGTGTGCGTATGAGTGTTTGGTATACAGGCAATGAAAAAAAGAAGCATACTTTGTAAAAGTAAAAAAGAATTACATGATGATGTGACAGTTAGAAAACAGTTGTTCTTATCAATTTCTCAGGTACACAACAAAAATAAGTCATTGAAAAGTTTGTTTTTCTTTCAATTATTAGACATATAATTTTGTACTTATCTTTTTTTCTTTAACATTATTCAACAAAAGCTACACAGCTATGTGTACGAATGCATATAGATGCACATAATGTAACAATTATGTTAAGAGTAATGAAATTTTTTCTTTTAATAATAAGACTGATGGTAACGGTCAAAAGAAATAATAACCGTACTTTGAAATTGGTACGTTTTTGTTGGTTATGAAGAAAAAAAATGCTAAAATAGGGGAATGAAGTGGGAAAATAGTAGTAGATGATGATGTTGTAACAAATTTTCCCATATATCTGTCTTTGTGTAATATATTTATGGTATGTTAATTTGTTTATCTTTCTATATTGCCTGTCACATTTTGCCTTTTTCCAAGTCAATTCTGCCTATTATTGTTATGACTTGAATTTGTTTTTAAGATGTATTTAGCGCATGTATACATGAGGGTATGTATGAAGTTGTGTGTATGTAAATGTATATGTTTTCTACCCAAAAATAACAATTATCTTTCTAATGAAATAAATATATCTAGAGGTATTGACACAGGCTTTTGTGGATAAAACTAAATTTTCATTGTTTATGTCACACACGAACCGATAGTAGTTGGATAATCACTGAGAACCGGGAAGTAGTGAGCGGTTGATTTATTCTAGTATGGGACTCCTCAGTGATGTGAATATATGACATAATCAGGGTTAGAACTCGAGATCTTCGGGTTTCGCAAAGATATATTAGTCTTCAGACCAGTTAGTCAGCGTTTGCTGGTTTTACATGCCTAATTTCAATCATTACATGACACTGAGCAACGATCTTTCATCACTTGAGGTGGTCAGTTGTTTTATACCCGATGTTATCGTACTCCACTAGTTATAGCTTTTCATTCCAACTCCAAGAATCCCTTCTTAAAATTCATCATTAATAAAGAGGTATTTTTCAATGTTACAGGAGTTTATGAAATTTGCCGAAATTCTCAGATTTAAACCCTGGTGTAGTCATGGATGACTGCTAACTAAAAGTCACACACTAAGATGAAATGTCCATTACTGGTGAATTTATGTACATACATAGAATACTTGAGCAAAAAATTTTTTCAGTAAACTCATCATAATGCTTCACAGTGATGTATCTATAAATATTTTATTACAATGGCCAGAATAAATATAGACAAGTAAATAAATATAAGAACGGAAGTAGAAGACAAAAGACGAAACTAAGGGATAATAAAACTCATTATCTAATACTTGACTCTAAAAAGGATATAGCGGGGGATATCTTAACACATCACATAAGAAAACCTAACGAAAGAACTTTTAACGCTGTTAAATTGTATGTTATCTTCTCAACTAAACCATTACACACAAAACTAATCAAACATCCATTCCTGATGATGAATTCTGTGTGTATACTGATTCGGACGTTTCTATGGAGCTGTCAGCATAAGCTGTATTCAAAACGTCTGTTCCTTGAGTGCTCTCGAACTTTTACCAAAATGTATGGAAAATAATCATAAAACTTAATAACACTATCCTTTCTCAACTAGTACTTAGTGAGGACTAAAATAAAATGAATGAAGTTTTCTCAATTTTGTATCAGATCCTAAACAGTCTGGCTGTGAGCCAAGACTACAGCTCATCTACATAGCTGAAGCCATCATGGTTATTCTTAGAGAGTGGATATATATTCGAATCCTCTATTTACATGGCTTATAATCAGACAATGTCATACCTAAATAACATGTTACAAATACTTACCCTCGATTGTCTTCTATCTTTATCTCTTCCTTACCTCATTCTTGATAAACCCATTCGCTTTTCTTAATGCAATGAATTTACATTTCAGAATAGTTTCCGTGGAAACACATCGTTCAATGGAAATTCTTGTTTCGAGTTTCCTGGTTCAATCTTAAATCTTTCCTTTTCTTTCTGAACAACGATGTCGTATAAATTTCAGACAGTAATGTGCAATTTAAACCTTCCTATTTATTGTTAACAGCCAAGTTCCTATAAATATACCTCTTGTTACGAAACATATCTTCATAACAATATTACTATGTTTATTATCATCTTAATGAACTGGGTCAGTCAGTCAGTAACAACGTAGAACTTCGTGTGTACGCACATCAGTTCAAGTTACCTTATCCATAGTGATAGAGCTAGTAAGAGTATAAGTAGTAATCGGAAAGATTAGGGTTTGAAGATGTTATTCAAGGAGTATAATCCAGTGAAATAAATTTGGAAGGAGAAAAAAGCGACATGAAGAATTCAGAAGATTAGAATTTAGGGGAACACAAAGAGTGGATGCACCTGCGCAATCGTAAACGATTTTGAGCCATGCAATTCAAGGTCTCTAACCGTAGGTTGCTATCGTTTCGTGGATCCCAACCAGGTAGTCTACACCTACCAACATGGCTCAGTTTACTTGTCAGTGACTTCATGGATCTGTGCCATGTTTTGATCTGGCCACCGCTAGCTTTCTTCTAACCTACTACTATATCATAAAACATCACTTGTCGAGGCAATCGGTGGTTGGGTATACGTAACACATATCCTAGACATCTCAACTGATGAATCTCATCCCGAACATGCTTGCATTATTGCTTACGGTGGTCAGAAGACTCTGCCTTTAGTTAGCGTCTCCACCAAATAGAACTATGTCATTGGCATATTCTAAGTCAACAAGTGAATCACCTGGTAGAAGTTCAACCTCTGGAAATTTAGATGAGGAAAATGTGAATTCATTCATGTAATTTATCTTAACATATTGGTTATACCTCAACACTTTTTAACAAACTTTCCTAATTTTTTTCCTTAAATCTCATTTTAAATTTACAAATAACACGTTTTTTTTTAAAAAAAGAAACTTATTTCATCCTTAACCGAAACACTAATTTCAAATAAAAACATTGTATGATTGTCATATACTTATGTATAAATTATTTTGACATTAGTAATACAATAATTATCGATTTATAACTGTAGGGAATAGTGAAGAAGTTATTATCAAACAACTGTTCCTTCAAATATTTCATCCTTTAGAATACTTTATGAAGTTCATTAAATAAAAATTGAATGATCAT